GGGGGGGGTGGTCTTTTTTACCATTTATAACCCTCCCAAAGGTTATAATGGCCCATAAACTCTAATATTAAGATCTTTTTCATTTCATACAATATCAAGCTATTGATAATTCTAAAAATACGGAGTAATGTTCATTGTAGTAATAAATACTCCGTATATTACAACGATAATAATTAAAGAATATTTAAAAAAAATAGTACAACATGAAGTACTCTATATATGGTAAGATAAAGTAGAACAATACAATGGAAGTTTTATTTGACATAGTCCGTAGATAGCTTTGAAAGTTTGGTTGTTATAATCAGTTTCAATGCATTCTCGTCGCAAACGGTTCGGGACCAATCTCGTTTAAAAATACTATAAATGATTTGTTATCATTATGGTCCAGTATGATACCATGTTACTAAGATGGGATAAAGACCAAATTAGGACTAAAACATTGAAAATATACCAAAATAGGATTTCTATGTTTTTATTCCCGAAATAGGACTTACATTACCAAACATGGTCATATACATTACCAAAAAAGTATAATAATTTGCACATTTACACTGCCACATTTCCACAATGCAAAGTCAGATTACCACAGTGCAAAGTTCTATTCCGGAAAAAAAAACATAAAAGTCCTATTTTGGTACTTTTCTCTATGTTTTAGTCCTATTTAGAATGATTTCTATACTAAGATCTATACGATTTTGTGTAGGCCTAAAGATGATAGTGATAAGCAAATATTCATTATCCTAATACTTTTTTTAGTAAACTCCATAATTAATTCTTTATAACAAGGAATTTCCATATTTAGTTCTCTATTATCAAATATTATCCATGTGGTCTTTCTTTTATGGGTGTCTTTCCACAAATGGTTCTTTTTTATTCTTTGTTATGTTGGTTTTAATTTAAAACCTAAAATGTAATTTGACATCAATCTTATGTCCAGTGACGTGGGCTAGAATTCCGACGAAAAACTACATATGTAGGTTTTGGTCGTAGTAGAAAGCGACTGTAATTAACCAAAGACGCATTAGGAGCGGCCGTTGGATTGTGTATGACAAGAAAAATATATTATCATTGTGAAATTACACTTTTAACCTCAAATTAACACCAATATGATAGAAGATAAAAAAGACTATTTGTAGAAAGATACTCATAAAAGAAGAACTGTCAGATTAATATTTGATAATAGAAGACTAAATAAGCAAACTCCCTAATATAAAGACCAATTATGAAATTTCATTTTTTCTTTTCCAACTCACCATTTTATGTAGTTTATCACACAAGCCTAAAAAAAGGATAGGCCCAACTTAAAATTGTCCCTTTAACAAAGAAATAAATTTCAAGTTAACAAGTCAACTACTTCAATTATAAAATTTTTGCTCCTTCCAAATTGATTTGAACTTTTCAAATTATATGTAAAATCTTATCTTTTTAAAAATGATTTTATCTATGAATTCGTATTGAGAAATAAAAATTAAAAAGATTAATCTACATATTTAAAAAATATGTATTTAAAAAAATCTATAGAATAACATGTGACTATAATAATTTATATTATCAAATGATTAATGAAGACACGAGTAAATAAAAGTTGTTGAGAAATTCATATAGTAAAAATGTACCACGGATATATTATTTTGAGAAGGAGGAAGTAATATGTTTTGGTTAAATAATCATAAAATAATACCAAAGTAATAAGTTGAAAGTATAAGCAAAAAAATATTATCTGTTATTCTAAAGACAAAATGTACTCCCTCCATCATTTATTAAGTACTCTCTTCATCTCAATTTATATTACCTATTTCGGTTTATGATGTTTGATTGATTTTTTTTTAAAAATTATTTTATATGAAAAATAGTGTATAATTATTAAAAATAAAATTACATATTAAAATATTACATCAAAATATTTGCAAAGCTAGTGGTGACATGATTATTTTATTTTATTAAATGACTACCAAAAAAGATAAAGAAAGTAAACAAAGTTTGATCATATTAATAGCAAACAAACAATTTAATTTTAGATGGAGAGACTATTTATTATGACTTTCATAAAATATTAGTGGGTATAAAAAAGAATGATGTAGTTTTATCTCTATATTCATTTATTTTGTAATTTATCATGAAAGTTATAATAGACCATTACTAAGTAATGGAGGGAGTATAACTTATCACCTTCTTTTGACAGATTTGTAGAAAGAGTTCTGAAAATTAAAACACACTTAGTTTGAAGTTTGCTAATTTTGAACCATATAGAATGCGTGTCATTATTACCTAGAAATTAGAATTGAAGAATTATATTTTTTGATGATGTGAATAATATTTTAGAATTACCTAAATCTCACCTAACATGTGGCACTCTTATAGAGAGTATTCCCTTCATCTCAATGTGTTTGTTTAATTTAATTTTTTTAAATCAATATTACAATCATGAATTAAATAAATATTGCGGTGTATATTACATATTAATAAAACAAATTACTAGTAATTTTTTGAAAATATCTTACAAGACAAATGTAATTAAATATTCTTGTACTAATATATAAAGCAATATTTATTTAATTAATAATAAAAAATTTGTCCATATTTTACTGCAAAAAATCAAATTGGATAAACCCACTCGGGCGATTGGAGTTACTTCATAGAATTTCTTCCGTCCCAATTTAAATTATTCATTTTAGTTTACGATGTTTGGTTGAAATTATTTTGGATTCAAATTATACGAGAGCTAAGCAGGATTTTAAAAACATATACATATTTAAAAATCGTATATAAAAATTTTCAAAACAAGAAATTGAAAAATTATACTCCCTCCGTCCTATAATGTTCTTCTCGGTTCTGTTTATGAAGTTTGACCGACTTTATTTTTAATTCAAATTATTTGATTGTAGGTGTAAAATTTAAAAGATAAAGTTTATATATTTAAAGACCTCATCAAAAGTTCTACAAAACAAGTGGTGAAAAGACTATATTATTTTATCAAATACCTAATGAAAATAGGTAAAGAAAGTGATTAAAGTTTGACCGTGTGAATAATAAGTGGGAAGAACATTTCAGGACGGAGGGAGTATTAATTTATCATTTTGAGACCATCATTTTGAAATCACTTTGAAACTGTTACCAATTGAATGTGTGATTAACTTATTCCCAACCCATTTTAAAATGTGAAATTTGCACTAAATAGGACTAGAACATAATGACTTTTCTAATGTAGGACTTAAACTTTTTTATTCTCTAAATAGGACTTAATAATGAACTAGTGGAAGAATAATGTCCAGTAATGATGGACATTTAGTTGAATAATGACTACTTGATAATGACCAAATGTCTTACATTGGGAAATAAAAACATATGGTCCTATATTGGGAAAGTCATTATGTTTTAGTCCTATTTAAGTAAATTTCTTTTTTAAAATTTGACATTGTAAAAAAAAGAATTTACTTAAATAGCACTAAAACATAATGAGTTTTTCCTAAATAGCACCACATGTGTTTTTCTTCCCAATGTACCACTTGTAGTCATTATGCATTAGTCATTATTCAAGTAAATGTTTGGCATCACAGAACATTATGGACATTATTAAATACTATTTAGGGAATAAAACAATTTAAATGCTATTTAAGAAAACGATTTAAGTTTTAATGCTATTTAATGCAAATATTTCTTGTAAAAAATGAAGAAACAATTTAGTTTAAGAAGTACTCCGTATAAAAGAATCTCCAAGCATGACAGGTTAGTGGTAGTCCCGTTCACGTTATTGGTAGGTAGCCGTCCAGTCCACCAATGTTGTTGGTCTTCACCTCACCATTTTTAGGCTCCCAACATCTCATTTCACAATCATTGAGGCCACATAAGTTAAATTCTTTCTTCCAAAAAAAAAAAGAGTTAAATACTCGACACACAAAAATACTAGCATTAATCATTTTAGTCTGACTTTATTAAGCTTAAAAAAGTAAAAAGTACTCGATAGAAAATTAGAATTTATTTTTTAAAAATAATGAAGCATAAATTTTTCACTTTATTAGGTAAGTAAAGATATAAAATAATTACTTTGAGACATACTAAAAAAAGAACAATGATACGTTCACAAACAGAATGATCACAAACTCCACAAACTTGCTATTTATGATTTAAATTCTTATTTTAAAATTATTTTAAACTATTTAAATTTTTTTATTGAAGTTCACAAATAGTAAATTTGTGAAGTTTGTGAAGTTTGAGTTTGTGAACCAAGCATTTTCCCTAAAAAAAATGTGACAATTAATTCATGTAAGAATAAGAAGCCAAGCATAAATTATGTGGATCGAGACTTAATTTAGGAGAGGAGCATACATGGAATATGTAGGTCAACTAGTATTCTGAAAATTTGAAGGGTCTTGATGGAGTGCCATGTAAGCGCTTTGTAAGCAGGTGGTGTGAGTAAAAACTATACTCACTGCCTCCGTCCTTAAAAAACTTCTCATTTTGATTTTTAAAAAATATAAGGGGAGTGTATTTTGGCGTTGACTTTCCAAAAATGCCTTTTGATGTGATGGGTAGATTAATAGGGAAGAAGTGTGATGTGATAGGTTAGTTTAAAATTAATATGGGTAAAAGTGACTTTTTAATAGTACAAAAGAAGTGTTTTTTGGGACGGATGAAAAATGAAAGGGAAAGTGTTATGTGGACGGAGGGAGTATGTGTTATGGAGATCGAATGAATGTGTTGATTATTTTGATTGGTTAAGACCTAAGTGCAGGATCTAATTCTCTGTTCATTCGGAAATGATTGTTTCATTTGATTTTTATAATCTCTAATACTCCCTCCGTCCTAAAATTAACTTCTCACTTTTCTTTTCGGGTCATCCTAAAATTAACTTCTCATTACTAAAAATGGCAACCTTTTTTCTATTAAAGAACAATAATAACCTCGTCAGCTATCCTATTTTTTCACTTCATTTTTCATTTCTCCGTACAACTTTCTTTCCCTTTCATTACTTTTACCTTTGTTTCCAAATCTTTTTCTCCCATTTGTCATCTTTCTTTTTCTTTTCTCCTTAATATTTTGAACCTTAACTCTGTATCTTCTTTTCTCCTATGCCTCTTCGATTTTGATTACATTTTCTTGTTCGCCTTAGATTTCATATTTGTTGCAGGCACATAGATCCATCGCTGATGCTGCATCTATTTTCTGTCTCATGGCCGAAACCAGTGCTGACACCGCTGCATCTAAAATCATCTCCATTTTCAGATCCATTCCTTGTTACTAAAAAGAACGTATAAACAGAACAAGTGTTGAGAAGAGTGAAAAACAGTTTTAATTTATTTTCTATTTTATCTCAGATTTCATTGTTTTCATCCCAGATCTATTTTTTTCAACGGAATCTTAAATTTTCTCTCTTTTATGATTTGCTTTTTTTTTCTCTTTTCTGATTTTGGGTGTGTTTGAGATACACCAGATCGCATGGTTGGAGGTGTCAAGTAAAAGAGTTCAAGGTCAATGTGTATGCACAAAGTTGCTTTAGAATGGAAGAATTGGTGATAGGATATGCTTGAAATTGTTGGATAATCTTGAAGTTGCTGGATAATTTTTGTTGGGTTGTGGATACTCACGTTAAAATTCAAGGGCCGAAGTGAGAAATGTTGAAGGCAATTTTGGAAAGTCAATTTTTTTTTACACTTTCTTAAAAATGAGCTCCGGTCAAACCAGGAAGTTAAATATAGGACGGAGGGAGTATAAAATTTTGATTATTAATATCTATTTTATAAATGGAAATATTTTATGAAAATTTAATATTTGAAAACTACGTTTCATAAGAAAACTATTGGTGTTAGATTTGCATCTGTTGGCCATGTGTGCACCTATACACCATCAAATATAATATTTTTTTTCTTATATATATATATATATCGACGTCAAATTTTACAAACTTTAATTTAATCAAAAAAATTAAATAATAAGATTATTTTCGAACAAATGAAATAGGGAGTAACTAAATTGAGTCTAAAATATGAATATTATTCTGATTTCGTGTCCAGTGAATACTACCGAGTAAAATGTAAAGACTTGAAATGGAAGCTTGAATTGGACGCTAAAGTATGAATTATGGATAAGTAATTAAAGTAGAAAGGTCAAACGTCCAAAAGACAAAATTCGGCCTTCTCATTGTGAGAACGCCGCGATAATGCATTGACCTTTTGGTGCACGAATTTTGGAAACTTTTGTTCGACTTTTTGGCCTTTTTGGCTTTTCTCACATTTACTTCATTTTTATATCGGATTCCTTCTAAAAATGACTCATTTTATGATTGTTAGTACATTACACATCCATTCAATTTGTAATCTACTAAGTATTAATAGATAAGTAATATAAGATGGAGTGAGTGAAACTTGTTCTGAATTTCAATATTCAGATTAGAGTATTTAATTATCAGACAACAATTTAACAACAGTTTAGTTAGATCCTATTAAAAAAAGCTTGAGAAATGAAATTCATTCTACGTTTCGTAGTTAGATTGGAGATTTTAATTATCATACGACATTTTTCATGTTTTAGAATTGAATTTGGAGTTCGTATAGACTCCATATTCTTTTAGATTTTTTAAATTAAAATAATATGTATGTATGCATAAATAATCAAAATTCCGGTTTTTATTTTTGATGCAACATTTACTCTTTTGGAAAAAATGAAAGTACATTACTGAATAATGTCAAAGTTCTAAACATCACTAATAATTCATGTTCTCTTGCCATGCGATTAAATTCTTCAATTAAATAAATCATTGAATTAAGTTTTGAGTTACTCAATTTTGACATCATACTTTTCATAGATATATACATACACGTAACAAATTTGAGTGCGAATAAATATTTCTAAAGAGAATATTTCAAAATTAGAATAAAAAAACAAAATATCCATCAACATGATGAGTATTCTTAAGGACCATATAACATGATTATTAATTGAGTGTTTATAAATGGGAGTACTAACATTTATGTTCATGAGAGTCACAACTATAATCATATTTAAATTATTATATAGAATTGAGTGAATTATTATTTGGGTAGTGACAGAGGGGGGTGGGGAGGTTGTGGGCATGAACCTACAGGGATAAGGCAACGTGTGAACGGCTAAGGTTAGGTGTGACGCCCTATTTACAATTCACTCTCTTTTCTTTCCCCTCCAAATAAATTTCATAGTCACTATTTATATACTCCTGTTTTATTTTTTGTGCATTTTGTAAAATACTTTTATCCCTTCTCAAATATTCAAAAACTTTCAAAACAATTTTACCTACACTAAAGAAGAAATGTAGAAAATTTTAGGTATTTTAGATGTGCGTAGAAGTATTTTAGGTATTTTATGCACAAATTAAAAAATGAAGCAGGAACATTTTTCAGAATGGATAGAATATATGGTTTCTTTAAATTCCAGTAAAACAAAAAAATAAATTTATCGATTTCTCCATCTCAAAATTATCTTTCAGGTTTTATTTGGCATGATTTTTAATAAAGTGGAATGTTAGCGGTCGTGGTATGGATAGAGAATTAATAAGGACTACATATTTCTTTCTTTAAAAGAAAAGAGGAAGAAATTTTTGAGACAACCGAAATAGAAAACAAGGAAGATAATTATGAGAAGGAGAAGGTATTTTATTTTATCGAATAATAGGGAAAAATGTGTAATGAAAAATATATATTCTATATAATTTAACATGTAAATCATAATATAAACTCAGGGCAACATTACCTCCATATGAGGGTATTAAGCAAATGCTTATTATATTATTTTGATTAAATTTTTTATTTTTATTTAGTGAAATAAAAAATAAGAAAATAGGTAAGAAGATACACACATTCCAAAATCAATTGAATGTTTATTATCAATAGAGTCAAACTTCATTAAATTAATGTAGTCATGTCATTTACGGAGTATTATTTAAATTTTTTTATGTAGTTTTGAATATGTAAATTTTTATGTTTAAATTAAATTTTAACTAGTTTTCTAATAAATTAAACTATATCCAAAATAAATAATATCAAAAATCATAAACAAAAATAGACAACTTAATTTAAAACGGAAATAGTAATAAAGAAAAATGTGAGATTTATTTAGAAGGGCACTTAGTAAGTTGAGGCATTACAAATACAAAAAAAAGGATGAGCTCCATTCCCGAGGGCCCCTCAGACCCAGTCAGACGGTCACTGAGAAGAGAAAATTTGAACTTTAATCGCAGATTGACGGCAAAGAGTGGAGCTTGCACCTGGTACTTGCAGAGGCTCTATATTTAGTATAGTTGCCTCTCAGAGTCCTAGGGCAGTTGCCAAAAATCAAACTCGAGTGTTACCTCTTTGACACTCCTTGTATTGTCAACTTTGCAACGCGCACCTGCAAAATAAGAAGTTGAAATGAGGCATTGCAAATACATACAGTACGGGTGGGTGTACCTCTAGGCATTAGGACAGCCAGCATTGAACCCTACATTTGGGGGCCTCCCTGTACTGGAGGTAGGACGCTGGATTTCAGCTGGCTTTTCTTTATTTTTTGTTCTTTTTAATTACTTCGTATGAGTATATATATATTTTCTAAAAAAAGTCTACTCCGTATTTAAACAAAAAATTTAAAAAAAATCAACCCGACTGTGAAGAGTACCCCATCAATACCGATGTGGACAGCAGGATAAAAGAAAGATAAATAAATATATAATACCCCATCCGTTCATAAATATTCCCGAGTAAAATTTTTATTATGTGTTACGATGTTTGATTGAAAATATTTTCAAATTATTTTGTATGAAATTAAAAATTACATATTTAAAAACTAAAAGAAAAGATCTACAAAACTAAATGTGACATGATTATTTTATTAAATAAGACACGAAAATAAACTAACAAAGTGAATAAAGATTTATCATTTGAATAATGAATGTGAACTTTATTTTTTGATGGAGGGAATAATAATAACTTAATGAGGGTAATGTTTAACTGAAGGAGTTTTTTTGGTGTCTGTTCTTAAGATTAATGATTTCCACCATATAACTCCTTCCTTAAATCCCCAACACCGCACCCTCACCCCAATCCACCTTTTCCCCCCACCCTAGCCCCCGCTTCGCCCCCTCCATTTTGAAAAGGTTATCTACATGCAACAGCTTTTAGCGTTGGCGTTTTCAAACCTAATTTATACCGTTAAAATTTTATCTTAAATGTTAAAGCTAATCGAAAGCGCTATTCCAAACGGGTCATATACCATTGTACTATAGGGATGGATGAGCCTATGGTATTAATTAGTGTTGTTACTCCTTATTAATTACTCCGTATATTATTAATATTCTTAAAAAATGGAACTACAAAACATTGTAGGCAAATTGAATTGAAAGGGATCGGAGTATTTTCATAACCTATATAATAAAACAAAATATTTTTGTCCCTACTTATTTTGTTAAACTTTTGATGTAGTTTACATGCTTTAAGTATATGCAAAATAAATAAATAAATAAATATATAGACACACACATTTTTTCTAAAATTCTATTTTTAGAACTTCATCATCTTTATCTCTTCTTGGATTGAAAGAGTACGACGTTCCTACCAACTAATTAAATAAAATGTACTGTGTATATAGCAACAAAATGAGTATTGTGAAATTTTTAAATGTGCATTTATCATTTTGCAATGTATATATCATTGTAAATGTGTCTATGGGTATGATATGCGAGATGTTTACTAAATATCGTATATCTGGATCATAATATAAGAACTTATTTGTGCGAGATTTGTAAAATATGCAATACTCTTAGAATGCTACTCAAATATGTACTTCCTCCGTCCCAAAAAGTTTGTTACGTTTAGAAAAAACTGCGTCCCGTAAAATCCGTTACATTTCTATTAAAAAACCACTTTTACCCCTTACTTTTTCATACCCTACCTATCACATCATACCTTTTTTCTAATAATCTACCCATCACATCCTACTTTTACCCATCACATTAAGGGTATTTTTGGAAAATCAATACTAAAATATCCCTCCCTTAATTTCTCAAAAAGTCAAATTGTCCCATTCTTTTTGGGAGGGAGGGAGTATATAGTTTTATACATAATTGATCATATGAGAACAAAAAAATAGAGAACAAAAAATCCCTTTTAATTACGTTACGGAGTATTTATATATAACACATAGGTATTGTACTAGAGATTTAGAGTATATTATTCAATTCTCACTCCCGTCCTCAAGCTACATCGTACAAACTACAAAGTATATTGAAACAGAGTAAAAAACCTCTGTTTCCAAAACAAAATAAATTCATGAATTAAAAAAAAAAATTAATCCGTATATTTATTTATTTAATTATTTCACTTGAAGTGTATGTTGGGGAACAAAGTCATTGACCACCGTAGTAGCCTCTCCCTCTCCTCCTCTTCCCCGGAGCAACCGCCTCAGAGTTTTCAAGTGGAGAAAAACTTGCTTGTAACCGGCGGGGCCGCCGCTAGCGGCGGCGGCGATGGTCTTCCTCAGCCGCACGATCAACCGGTTCCCAATCTTGATCTTGACCCTGCAGCAGCTGAAACCCCGGAGTTTGATGAGCCAAATGGACGGCGGCGGCGGCTGAGAAGTTCTCCTCCTCCTCCTCCGTTGATGAGTCAGGGAGTCAACCTTTTTCATTGACTTGTAAATCAAGAACTGCGCCTTTCTGTGCCTCATCTCCTCCTCATCTTCCACTTCCATCTTTGAGTAGCCATTATTGTAGAAGGTGTTTGTACTGCCAAGGTACAAACAATTCATATTATTTGTTTTTTTAATTTATTTATTTCTCTAAAATATTGTAAAGAAGAAAATATGCGATGAGCTGAAGAAGATGAGAGAGAGACTATTGATCGGGATTGAAGGAGATTGGCAGTAACATATTTATAGGGAGAGAATTCTCAAGGCCGGGAAGAGGTGTGGGGTACGTAGTGCAAAAAGCTACTCCCTCCGTCCCTAAATAAACTTCCACTTTCGTTTTTTCTTTGTCCCTAAATAAACTTCTCTTTTTCCTTAAAAAACTCTTTTATCCCTTACTTTTTCATACCCTACCTATTACATCATACCTTTTTACTAATAATCTACCTATCACATCTTACTTTTACACATCACATCAAGGGTATTTTTGGAAAGTCAACACAAAAATATCACTCTCTTAAATCCTCAAAAAGTCAAAAATGGAACTTTATTTAGGGACGGAGGGAGTATGAAATTGTGTCCAAATTTATTACTCTTCAATTCCACAATTAATTATAATGTCTCCGGCCTCTTTCCAAAATCAACTTAACTATTTTTTGTTTATGCATTTTCATATTTTATTTGAAAAAATAAATTATTCTTGTCTCTTCTTGTTTTGTAAAATGTTTGATTGAGTTTTTAAGTATTCTACTTTTAATTTTTATTTTAATACCAATCTTTAAATAAATTGAATTATAAAAAAAATAATTTTTTCTTTGTTTTGTGCAACTTGAAATCTATTTAGAGATGGAGAGAGTAATATCCATATATTTCATTCGTCGCAAAATGTTTTACACTTTTCTCAAAACAAAACAAAATTTCAATTTTTTTAAAATTCATTATATTTGAAGAAAGATATACAAATTTAAAATAAAACTCATATATTTAAAAACTACATCAAAAGTTCTACCCTCATCCCGTTTCATAAAATGCTTCCTATTTTAACTTTTAGGAGAAATAAGAAATGTATATTTGTGGTTGATATTCCAATTTTATCTTTGATGGGATGAGTAAAAATAATTAAGATGTGATAAATAAATTATTACTAAAAAAACTATGATTTAATAGGTACGGTAAGAACAAATGAGCAAAAGTGTTTTGAGAAACGGATGAAGTACAAAAGAGAGGTGACAAGATTATTTTATTTTACCCCTCTGCTCTAAAACGTTCTTCCTGTTTCCGTTTACGAGGTTTGGCCGAATTTATTTGCAATTCAATTTATTTGATTGTAGGTGTAAAAATAAAAAATATATATATTTATATATTACATCAAAAGTCTTACAGAGTATAAACAAGATGTGACAAGTCTGTATTATATTATTTTATCAAATAACTAACGAAAATAAATAAAGAAAATGTTTAAAGTTTTACCGTGTAAATAGTATATGGGAATTGAAGAACGTTTTAGTTTGGGGGCTATTAAAATAATCATTCAAAATGCACAAATAAAAAAATGTGACTTTTGAATAGTAAAACGTGTAATGCTTTTTTGGACAAAGATATACGGAGTAATTTTTTTAGTAGAAAAATTATTATTTATGTAAGGTGAATATATCACATCTTGTATCTTTTGTCACTAATAATATACGTAGTAACTATATTATAATTGTAGTATTTCTCCATACGCACTTTCTTAATTTATCAAAGCACCAAGAATTATCGTCTAACTAAAGATTGACCATGGGTGCATATAATTCTTGCGGATCTTCTCACATACAAAATACTTTTTGTTATTTTTTATATAAAAAAAGGTTATCTAATTAGTAAAGAAATACGGAGTACTTTTTTTACTCATATATAGTTGATACAAAAATAGTGAAATTTGTCACATTTATTTCAGTATTATCAAATTTTAATATTATAAAACTTTTCTATAAAAAAACCCAACCCACCATAGGGTCTCTTGATACCGGCCCAATTATAGGGAGAGAAGCTGTAGATGAAATTACAATCTCAGTCTAATTGAGAAGAAGTAAGTCTCATAATATCGGCCCAATTAATGGGATACGGTAGTGGGCCTACGTGGACTGAGGGGCCGTCACAGTAAGTAAATAAAGTGATTAATCCATTATACATACAATTACTCTTACCAATTACCATTATTTTCGGGTGGATTAAAATCCATCAGTAATACGGAGTATGATTTTGAAGAATAAGTATTTATAGGGGAACCCTCCGTCTAAATTTAAATTGTGTATTTTGATTTACGATGTTTGACTGAAGTTATTTTAAAATTATTATATAAGAAAAACGTTGTAGAATTAAAAAATAAAAATAACATATTTTAAAATTACATCAAAAGATCTAGAAAACTAATGATGACATTAATATACTCCCTCCGTCCTATAATGATCTTCCCAAAGCACTATTCCAACTTCACGGGAATTTATATTTATTTGTGTTTTTTCATGGCCTATATGATAAAATAAAATATTCTTGTCACCACTTGTTTTGTTGAACTTTTGATGTAGTTTTTAAATATGTATATTTTATTTTTTATTTCTATACCAATATTTAAATAAAATAGATTGAAAAAACTTTGGATTTTTCTTCGTTTTGCGAACCGGGAAGATCATTATATGACGGAGGGAGTATTATTTTATCAAATGACTAACAAAAATAAGAAAAAAAATGAATAAAGTTTGATCTTGTAATTAGTAAACAAACATTTGAGATGTAGGGAGTACTAACTATTTCACCAACTTTTACGTACTCTCTTTGTCCTAAAACTGAAGCGACAATTATTATATATAAAATAAAATTTTATTTAAAAAAGTATTTTCATTCATAATTTGACCAAATAATATAGAACCAAAAGGTAAAATGTCAATTTTATACAAATTTCATATAATTTTAAAATTAAATTTTAAAAAATGAATTAAAATTAATTTCTATGAATTGTTAAAAAAAATTAGAGTGATTCTGATTTTAGTGGGAGGAAGCAATACGGTTGGCATATATGATACCGATCATTAATAAGGACAAAGGAAAATGTTAGAGTCACAAACATATAGTTGACAAACTTCACAAACTTACCTTTTGTGAATTTTAAATTAAAATATCTTTTATTATTTGAATACATCTTATCTCTAGAAAAGTGCTAAAAAGACAAGTTTGTGAATTTTGTGAACTGTTTGTTTGTGACTCTAGCATTAAACTCGCGTAGGACTTTTTGGTTTCACTTACCAATCCAAACATTATCAAAAAGCTCTTCATTATTTATAAAAAAAGAAAATGTTGCTCTAAAAAAGTTTTTTTTTCTTTTAAAAGTTACTCAGTATTATATTATACTCCTTTTCTTCTTGTAAAAGTTATTGTTTCTATTTGATATCACAAAATTTAAGCAAAATTTATATATTAAAAAAATTATATCAAATGCTCATTGCACTATTTTGCATGCAACACCCCCGACTTGTCCTAATTTAGAACTATCATTGAGGATTGTCAAAATCTCTTATCTATAATTAGGAGTAGAGATAATTCTTTTAATTTTATTTTGTTTAATTTTTTTCTCTACTAATGAAACAGGGCATCTCTTAGCGTATGTAGGCTTCTCATGCATTCACTCCACATCATATGGGCGTGATATGGGAGATTGGGAGTGGTTTGATCTCTAAATTCGTCCTTACTTCTCTTGAATTTAGTTTATACTAGTCTCTTCGTCTCTGAAAATCTTTCTTCATTTTTCTTTCATTCGTCCCAAAAAATATTTCTTGTTTATATTAAAATGTCATTTTTACTCCTTACTTTTTCATCTCATGTCTATCACATCTTTTACTCTACCTATCAAATCTTACTTTTACTCATCACCTCAAAGAACTTTTTTAGAAATTCAAAAGCAAAATACGCTTCCCTTAAATCTCTTAAAAATCAATAGCTCCAATGTTTTTAGGACAGGAGGGAGTACTTCTTACAATGTTTCAAAAATAAAAGATAACAACACGTTATTTAGTGCTACGTGCTTATTTCTTCTCTTTTTAGACATGAAAAAGCATAAAAAAGATAGGGCTTGACAATACATCATGATTTATTTATCATTTTAATATATAGTGTGTGATTGAATTTGCGGATTATATATAATAGTTGATATATTGTTTTTAAATTGCCATATATGCATGCAACACACAAGTGAAAAATCTAGCTAGTTACTTTGGCGGCTTAATTGGCCAACAACAGCATTCACCAAACGGATCATGGTCCATATGTGCACAGAGTCCGCGGTAACCCACCACGCATGGGTAGTTAGCACATTGATCATTTGTCACGCATTCTACGCCAGTGCAAAGAGGTGGATTTGGACCCAGAAGATTTTGCAGACTCGAACTTACTACAACATACAAAAACAATAATGGATGTATTAAAGTTTTTGTGGACCGAGAACAAAGAGTAGAATATTAGGTAAAATTAACCATTTGCATATAAAGTCGGGATCTACTATTCTAATTCAAGGGTTTCACCTTTCTTTATATGCTAGTGATATTCTTCTTTATTTTCCGACGTAGAAACTCCATCAAGATGTTATAAAATTTGATATATAACAAAATTACTCCCTCCGGTCCTAAAAACACGGGATGCATCTTTTTTTATCCGTTCCAAAAAGCATTCATTATTTCTATTAAAAAGTCAATTTTCCCCTTTACCTTTTCATACCCTATCTATCACATCATATTTTTTTACTACTCCGTAATAACCTATCCATTAAATCTACTTTTCTTTCTCACATCAATAGACATTTTTAGAAATTCAATATTAAAATACACACTCCTTATATCTCTTCAAAATCAAACAATCTCATGTTTTTAGAACGGGAGGGAGTACATTTTGTGGTCAAAGTAAACAAAAACAAGTCATCAAATATGACGCTTATTTTTACAAGGAACTATACAATGCGCCTTGGTAAATCACTAATTAAAAATTTAGGGATGACTTGGCATATATAATGGCATAGACATGTATAATCAAGACAATCAAATTATACGTTTGTACCTCTGAAACAAATACTCGATCGATCCTTAGTATAAAAATTTGGTGTGACTGTAAGATCTTTGAGCATCTTTCCAGATATGACTTTTATGTAATTAAAATTGATAAATTTTGACCACTAATTAAATAAAATTCATATTAGATAATGATAAAAAAATAACTTTATAAGATATAATTTATATAATACTTTTAGAATATTTTTTTATCAAATTAAAATATTATAAAATATTTATTTAATTCAAGGTCAAAATTTTTAAAATAATAGAATCAAAAAGTCAAAATCATACAAATACTTAGGGATGAGAGTAGTAGATGTTAATGTAATGTGCATACCAGCTAAGAGACCAGTCAGAATTGTTAGAACAAATAGGATGCTGGTAAAAGCCAGAGGGTTGGCGCCAAAACCACGACGAAAGAAACTACCCATTATGTTTTTTTCTTAAGTCTTTGATTATATTGTATCTTAATTCACCTAATAATAATAATGCTGGTAAATGCCGATTAATATATGTGATGAGTACTGTGTTATATATTTATAAGAAATATGTGTGTGCCAATTTGCTTACAAATTAAATTTTCTGAGGTTCATTGAATTTTGCACATGCTGCTTAAACTAGGGGTGCTGATTTTTATGGCTAAATCTTTATGTTTTTTCCACTTTTAGTAGATATTATCAATAGTAGGTTAAGTATATCTAAGTGGGATCCATTTCTTATCTATTACGGAGTATTCTATATACTCCCTCCGTTCCAAAAAGTGTTACTCATTTTGACTAAAGTTGAAATTAAGGGAGAGATGATTTTATGTTGACTTTCCAAAAATACCCTTGATGTGATGGGTAAAAGTAAGATGTGATGTGTAGATTATTAGGAAAAAGGTATGATGTGATATGTATGGTTTGAAAAAGTAAGGAGTAAAAGTGGTCTTTTAATAGAAATGAGTAAAGAATTTTGGGATGCAATTTTTTTGAAACGTGTAAATCTTTTAGGAACAAAGAGAGTATATGTTGTTTGTTAAATACTCTGTATTTTGCAAAACAAGAATGTGGAAGACTAATAGATGAAAATTAAAAAGTAGTTGAAAGTAAGGATGACAACCCAATCTGAATCCAACTTTATTTGATCTGCACGAATCATAAAGTTATTTGAACCTGACCCATTAAAATAAAACATGCATTCTAACTAAATTGAGTTGGGTTCAGATCTCTAAATTTATAACCCGACCCTCAATGCGTCCATTATAATGTTCTTTATTAAAAAAGGAGTTTAAAATAATGAGAAAAAACTTAGTAAAATTGTCATTAGTGCAAGTTGTTAGTACTATAAAAATATGGTAAATTGATTAAATTCTTTTGTAGTCCCAAGATTCATTATTTTTTATGGACTTTATTGCATTGAGATTGTAAAAAATTGGGTCTATGGCAAACAAAGAAAACATGCACTTGTCAGTTAATGAAAAGTGTGAAAAGATTGATAATAAAAACATCCAAACAATTCTTATGATAAAATCTAACAAACATCCAAACAATTCTTATGATAAAATCTAACATTGGAGTATAGAAGTGAAATAGTGCGGAAGCTTTATTCATTAAGGCAAACAATTTGGGGCTCCTTCCTGAAAACATAATAATTATTCAGGAATAGTAGTTAATTAAAAGCCTCCAAACATGTCAACCCACATCTCTTCCTCCTCATTGCTTCCCGAGATCGACTCTAGGTTTATCGTCTCCTAAATTGATTACCAACGTGTAGCAAACAAACAACACTACACTCTTAGCAATGATGCTGAGTGAGAATATCAAACGTCAAATTAATCAAATAAGCGAATCCATAATTCATAACAATTATGTGACATCATGCAAACATTCATATCACACATAGGATTCAAAACATAATTTACCTGGTACTTGCCCGTTATAATTCTCAATCAACTTGTGGATTTTTCGAGGCCGGTGGATCACCAAAGACCTGTTCCTAACCTGTCATAAGCTAAGGACTACTTAATTTAGGAGTCATGATTTTCCCACGGGATCAGCGGGTCATTCTCAATTAACAAAGGAGTTCCGTTGGGTGGGTGGAATCCCCACCTGTTGGATCACCAAGCAGTTGAAAGATACTCGTACGTACATACGTTTTTACATACCCTACTAACCATTGGACCCAACAGGCTCTACATGGCTTAATTTCTACAAAACTAATGTTAAGTCAATCCTAGAGTTCAGTTGAAGGATATTCGTACGGACGTTTTATTTTTTTCAGAGTACTTACACTTTAAGATTATTATTGAATTTGATTTTTAATAACCACTTTTATAACAATTGGATATTAAAACATCAATTTATATTTAATTTAAAAATAACAAATAATTAGAATAATATACATTTAAAAATATGGGTCTGAAAAATTTGAGGACCCTATACTGTGTCAGTGACTACTTTGCACACCTTCGGAGCCGCCATGCCTATGATACATTTCAAACAAAAACATGCTAAAAGATACTTCTCCAAAAAATATAAAAGTGCCCAAATAATTATCACTTCCCTATCTTTTTCTTTAGTCATGTACACACGGAGTTTATAGTAAAAGGGCACCCAGCACAAAACTCACTTATGTATTCACCATTATTACCAAAAACAGAAAGCATATTATTAGTACGTGCCAATTTTATGGGAAATAGGATATTGCCTGTTATACAGTATATATTGCCTTATTTATTGCATATATTTTTAAATGGGATAGTTGGGGAGTTTGCCATCTTTGATTTTTTTTATATAGGGTGTATTACACTCACTAACTCACCCCCTCGAAAAAATGAAGCTTTGTTTTAGTTTCTCGGTCAAAGTTTATAAATTTTGAGCGTAGTAATATGCAAATGAATGCATTCTTTTATGATATGATTAATTCGAAACTTAGTGCATCGATCAAAACTAATTGGAATTTACTTTCATTAAACATCTTAATATTAAAATATTAGACAGAGACAAGAGAGTATTACATTACATTAAGAAATATATGCAAAAATAGAAAATGAAATTAATTGGAAATAATTTAAAAAGGTAAGTTTATAATAATTAACGTGAGTAATATAAATTGGAAATAACTAAAAAGGTAAGTTATACAATTATACGCCCAATTACGCAAAAAGAAAATACCCTGGAGTAGTAAGAATAATTATACATCATTTTCGAAAAAATTTAACCGTTCTTATTATAATAGGGTATTGATGGTGTAAATATAGATGGGCGGGTTGATCGGGTTCAACCTGGACACACTCGACCCGTAGTAAAATACACACAACAAGAACACAAAGTATAACCTAGACCAGGTAAATCTCCTCAGTCCGAATTATATTTCTGTCTCTATCTCAAGAGTGAACTTTAGTGAGTGAAAAATTGGATCCCCTCCTCTATCCAATATCATCATATTTATAGAGCAGGAATTGTGACCTTCCTGTGTTCATCCATGGACAAAATAGGAAGCTCGTGGGAAGGTCACTGTAGATAATGGAAGCACTGTACAATCACAGACTTGTTACTAATACAACCAAAAAAGCACTGTTCAATCAAAGACTAAAATGGATATTCTCAATCCAATCAACCCTGCAAAGTGACAAATGTTCCTTTCACTATTTGCCTCGTGAAGGACGAACGGCGGGGTGGTCCCCTGGCCTTTGACGTTGATTGTCATTCCCAAGTGACGCAACCTTACCGGTCATCTTTCCTCCAAGGTTGTCCGGTCATTTCTTGAGTTTGACCCGTCTCTTTGGTCCTCTGGACTATCCTTCGTAACATGAAGTGACGAATTGGCTAACGCCCAAAATGTGACCGGTCACTTTTTTAGTGGAAGTGACCGGTCAACTTTTGACCCGTCCCAATCGAAGAGTTAACCTCATTTGGTGATTGATAAAAGTGACCGGTCATATTTGACATGTCCCTTTCGGTTATCCGGGTCGGGTATAAGGATATACCCATCAAGAAGTCCTCCACTTACCGGCCTAGAGTCATGTCGTCCTCTGATAGCCAGAATGTGTCCGGTCAGTCTTATGGATCGGGCTCTCAGCCCTCTTCCTCTTCCCACTCTGAATCTCCTCCTCCTCCTACTCCTTTGATCCGTCGCCCCTCCCAACAGTCTAACTCTCAGACCCGGGAAATAATTGCCCAGGAGCCTGTCCCTTTGAATCAACTGCCCGGTCGATTCAATCCCAAGGTCCTCAGCTGGGAGCAATGGGAAGAACGACTGGGATCTTTGGGCTTCCTAGCCCTTTATGTTAGATCGGTGTTCAAAGAGTCTTCTAGGGTTACGAAAAAGGTTTTGGCAGAAGTCCGTACCATCCTCCCACCGGGCTACAAAGTCCTTTCCAAAACCACCTGGCCCAACATCATTGAACCCCACCAGGGAACCCGGTTGGGTTTTCATGTTGCTTCTCTGGAGGGAGGTATTATTTTTCCTCTTCGCCCCCTCATTATTGAAATCTGTAAGAAGTTTCATGTTTTGCCTGGTCAACTTACTCCAAACGCCCACCAGTTCTTAAATTGTTTTGTTAATATATGTGAAAATCTGAAAATCAACCCTTCCCTTGAGCTTTTCGTCCACATGTACGAAGTCTTGCCTGGGACTAGTAATTGCCCGGGCTTTGTTTATTTTCATTCTCGTAATAAGAGGGGTTTTGTGACCGCTCTTCCCCCTAGCCACAAAAGATGGAAGAAAAGATTTGTTTTCGTTGAATTCCCCCCTGACCAATTTCCTTTCTCTAACCCTGAGTGGGCTGAACGGGTTATAAAACCTGAAAGGGTTCATCCGGAGCCCACTAAAGATCTTGAGGACGCCTGCGAGAAACTTCTCAAGGGTGATCCTGTGACCGGGAAACCTTATGCCTATGGAGGCTGGGTATTCCGGCTACCTAACCCGGATGGGGGTGCGTCTGCGACCCATGACGCTGAGGATAACCGGTCACTTGTTGCTTTGTTCTTTTTGGCAGACATGAACTTCAACAGGATGTCCACCATCATCGAAGATGACGACGATGATGTTGAAGTCCTCCACTTCAACCGGTCTTCCACCCAGATGATATGTGGCAACTCCTCTAACCAATTCGTTCCTGCCTCACCCAACCGCTTTTTGATCCCATCGACTATTGTGCGGTTCGCATTCTCCACCTGGCCATTCCCTTGCGGGTAGGCCACAGAAGCCTTGTTGTGAGTAATCCCGAAGTCCTCCAAGTATTTGGTGAACCCTGGATTCCGAAATTGAGGCCCGTTATCCGTCACAATGTTTCGGGGTGACCCGAACCGAGTGATGATGTTCTTCCAGACAAAGCGCTGGCACTGCTTGGTTGTGATGGTTGCATATGCCTCGGCCTCCACCCATTTTGTGAAGTAGTCGATAGAGACCATGACATACTTCTTTCTCCCTTGAGCTTGAGGGAAGGCCCCAATGATGTCCATCCCAAACCTTGCGAATGGAATAACATTGGAAACTGGGTGGTAGTATGTTGCAGGCCTTCCCGGAAACTTGTAGAATACCTAGCAAATCTTGCACTTCTGAACATACCTCTTGCAATCTTGGTTCATTGTAGGCCAGAAATAACCTAGCAAAATGATCCTTTGCGTGAGCGTCCTGGACATTTGGTGGGCGGCGCAGACACCCTCATGAACTTCGACGATCACTCTTTCTGCCTCTGCCCTGGTCAAGCACCTTAGCAATGGACCACCGAATGCTCTTTTGTATAGCCTTCCCTCGAGCATTTGGAATCTTGGAGCCCTCAACTTTACTTTTCTCACCATGTCCTCATCTTCAGGGAATTGCCCGGTCATGTAATACCTGACCAGATCATCCATCCAAATGTCATCTGGCTCCACTCGATCTGGATTGGCGTGTCCATCTTCTTCTATCACGCTAACAGAAAATCCTTCAATGCTGGCTTTCTCCAGTGTCTCAGCTTGGACACATGCTCCGGGGCTGCTTGCATCAACTTTGATAGTAAGTCAGCATCGGTGTTCTCCCCCCTAGGGATTTGCTCCATCACATACTCAGTCAGGTCCTTCAATAGTTCCCTTGCCAAGTCTCTGTATTTCTGCATCTTCTCTCCTTTGGCCTCCATGTTGCCATTGATGTGGCCTACCACCAAGCTTGAACCGGACTTGATCCCGAGGCATGTGATTTGTAGGGTTTTGGCCAATCTCAGGCCCCCTATCAACGCCTCATACTCAGCCTCATTGTTTGTGAGCTTGAAATTAAAAATCAAGGCATGATATACCTTAAACCCTTCCGGAGTTGTGAATACCACACCTCCCCCATAACCTTTTGGTCCAGAGGCTCCATCGACCGACATGGACCACCAAAGCTCAGTGATGGCCCTGGCCGGTTCTTCTTCCTGGTGACCCGTCATCTCCACAAGAAAATCAGCCACAGCCTGCCCTTTTATCGCCGTCCTCGGACGATATTCAATGCTTAATTGGGTAAGCATCATGGCCCATTTGATCATTCTTCCTGATGAAGTGGAGTCCCTCATGACCGTGCCCAATGGTAGGTCAGTCAGCACGATGATGGGGTGGGCCTGGAAGTAGGAGGTGAGTTTCTTCGCCGTTATGAATAGTGCATAACATGCCTTCTCTGTGGGAGTATACCTACTTTCCGCCCCATTTAAGGCCTTGCTTACATAATAAATAGGCCTCTGGACCCCATCATCCCTCATCAAGACCGAGCTAACGGCCATCCGAGTTACCCCCAGGTAGAGGTATAGGGTCTCCTTCGTTTCCGGCTTGGATAGGACAATATCCGAAGTCATGTACGTCTTTAGCTCTTCGAATGCCCTGGCACATTCATCATCCCACTGGAAGGTATTGACTTTCTTTAAAACCTTAAAGAAAGGCAAAGCCTTCTCTGCCGACCTGGACAAGAACCGGTTTAAGGCCGCCAAGCACCCTATTAACCGCTGGACATCCCTTACTGATGTTGGGGTGTTGCATCTCAACAATGGATTTGATCTTCTCAGGATTTGGCTCAATCCCCCTCTTCGTGACCATGAAGCCCAAGAACTTTCCCGTCCTCACAGCAAAAACACACTTCTTCGGGTTAAGTCTAAGATTATGCCTAGCCATAATCTCAAAGCATTTTTCCAGGTACTGATTGGTCTGATTTCTCCAAATTCAACCTGGACACACTCGACCCGTAGTAAAATACACACAACAAGAACACAAAGTATAACCTAGACCAGGTAAATCTCCTCAGTCCGAATTATATTTCTTACTCTATCTCAAGAGTGAACTTTAGTGAGTGAAAAATTGGATCCCCTCCTCTATCCAATATCATCATATTTATAGAGCAGGAATTGTGACCTTCCCGTGTTCATCCATGGACAAAATAGGAAGCTCGTGGGAAGGTCACTGTAGATAATGGAAACACTGTACAATCACAGACTTGTTACTAATACAACCAAAAAAGCACTGTTCAATCAAAGACTAAAATGGATATTCTCAATCCAATCAACCCTGCAAAGTGACAAATGTTCCTTTCACTATTTGCCTCGTGAAGGACGAACGGCGGGGTGGTCCCCTGGCCTTTGACGTTGATTGCCATTCCCAAGTGACGCAACCTTACCGGTCATCTTTCCTCCAAGGTTGTCCGGTCATTTCTTGAGTTTGACCCGTCTCTTTGGTCCTCTGGACTATCCTTCGTAACATGAAGTGACGAATTGGCTAACGCCCAAAATGTGACTGGTCACTTTTTTAGTGGAAGTGACCGGTCAACTTTTGACCCGTTCCAATCGAAGAGTTAACCTCATTTGGTGATTGATAAAAGTGACCGGTCATATTTGACATGTCCCTTTCGGTTATCCGGGTCGGGTATAAGGATATACCCATCAAGAAGTCCTCCACTTACCGGCCTAGAGTCATGTCGTCCTCTGATAGCCAGAATGTGTCCGGTCAGTCTTATGGATCGGGCTCTCAGCCCTCTTCACATGCAATGAAGATAATATTTCCACAAATTATACAAATAATGTAGTTTATAAAGAAGTATTTCTAAATTTGTAAAGCAGTTATTTTTTTTACCTTAAAATAATATAATCCTCAAATTCTATTGCATCTCATTTTTATCATTGAAAAATGATTTAAATTTTAATAACATAAAAATGACCCGTGCAATGCACGAGTGTGATACTAATTTATTTAAATAATGATGCAAAGTTTCAGAATAAAATATACTCCCTCCGTTCTTAAAAAAACTTTCTCTATCATTTTTTGTATTTCTAACAAAACACTTCAACTTTCTATCTAAAAATTATTTTTACTCATACTTTTTCATGATTTACCTATCACATCATTTTTTTTCTAATAACATATCCATTAGATCTATCTTTTTCCATCACATCAAAGGCAATTAGAAGTCAATAACAATTTATCACTTTCTTATTTTTACTCTTGGTCAAAATAAGAATTCTTTTTTAGAATGAAGAGAGTGGTTAAATAAATTTTATCAAATGCTAATGGCACTAGTTTGCAACACCCCTCACTTGTCCTAATATAGAACTATATGATTGATGATTGTAAAAATGTCTTATCTATCACGATTCAGGAGTAGAGATAATTCTTTTAATTTTATTTTGTTTAAATGTTTGCTCCACTAATGAAATGGGGCATCTCTTAGCATATTTAGGCGCTTCTCATGCATTCACTCCAGATCATAGGGGAGTGTGTTGATCCCTAAATTTGTCGTCACTTCTCTTGAATTTAATCTTTTATGAAATTTTTTTTCTTTCTTTTTCATCTGCTCAAAAAATATTTCTTCTTTCTATTAAAAAGTTATTTTTACCCCTTACATTTTTCATACTCTGTCTATCACATCATACTTTTTTACTTTATCCATCAAATATTCAAATCTTACTTTAAACTTTTTTAAATATTCAATACCAAAATACGCTTCCCTTATATCTCTTAAAAATTAATAACTCTATATTTTTAGGACCGAGGGAGCACTTCTTACAATGTTTCAAAAATAAAAGATAACAACACATTATTTAGAGCTATGTGCTTATTTCTTCTCTTTTTAGACATGAAAATGCATAAAAAAAGATAGGGATTGACAATACATCATGATTTATTCATCGTTTTAATATATAGTGTGTGATTTTGGAGTATATAACTATATATAATACTCCGGAGTAGTTGATATATTGTTTTTAATTATCATGCCATGCATGCAACACACAAATGAAAAATCTAGTTACTTTGGCGGCTTAATTGGCCAACAGCAGCAATCACCAAACGGATTATGGTCCATATGTGTGCAGAACCCGTGGTAACCCTCCTTGCATGGGTAGTTAGCACATTAATCATCCGTCTCGCATTGTACGCCAGTGCAAAGAGGTGGATTTGGACCCAGAAGATTCTGCAGACTCGAACTTACTACAACATACAAAAACAAATACAAAAATGGATATTAGCTATGGATTACACATACATAGGTGCCAATAATCCAAAAGAAAATATTTCTTACGTCCCAAAATTATCGTCTTATTCTGCCTTCTTTGGTCACAAATTAAATATAGTAGGGAGTAATTATATACAAATTAAATAGATGTGTTTAAAATTTCAGCGGCTGAAAACGACGAGTAGAGTATTGGGTAAAATTAACTATTTGTATATAAAGTTGGGATTCACTATTCTAACCCAAAAGTTTAAACTTCTAGGTAGGGTTTCACCTTAATTTCTTTATATGCTAGTGGTATTCTTCATTATTTCCGACGTGGAAACTCCATCAAGAGATTAAATCTCTTCGAAATCAAGACATTCCAAGTTCTTAGGATCAGAAGGAGTACATTTTAAAATGAGTGAAATCATATTAAATTATGTTTATACAATGCATACCATTTGTGGTCAAAGAAAACAAAAAAAAAGTCATCAAATATGACGCTAATTTTGACAAGGAATTATTCAATGCGCCTTGGTAAATCAAGTTTGGCATAGACATGTCGTATACACAATGGTTTCGTTCTTTGTAATCAAGACAATCAAATTGTACGCGTGTACATACCTCTGAAACAAATACTCTTTAGTATAAAATTTTAGTCTGACTATAAGATCTTTGATCATCTTTCCAGATATGACTTTTATGTAATTAAAATTGATAAATTTTGACCACTAATTAAATAAAATTCATATAAGATAATGATAAAAAAACTTTATAAGATATAATTTATATAATACTTTTAGAATATTTTTTTATCAAATTAAAATACTATAAAATATTTTTTTAATTCAAGGTCAAAATTTTTAAAATAATAGACTCAAAAAGTCAAAATCATACACATACTTAGGAACGAAAGTATGTAGTAGATAACAATGTAATGTGCATACCAGCTGAGAGACCAGTCAGAATTGTTAGAACAAATAGGATGCTGGTAAAAGCCCGAGGGTTGGCGCCAAAACCACGACGAAATAAACCATCCATTATGTTCTTTTCTCAAGTCTTTGATTATATAGTATCTTAATTCACCTAATAATAATAATGCTGGTAAAGTCCGATTAATATATGTGAGTACTGTGTTATATATTTATAAGAAATATGTGTGTGTGCCAATTTGCTTACAAATTAAATTTGCTGAGATTCATTGAATTTTGCAAATGCTCCTTAAACTAGGGGTGCTGATTTTTATGGCTAAATCTTTATGTTTTTTCCACTTTTAGTAGATATTATCAACAGTAGGTTAAGTATATATTTAAGCGGGATCGATTTCTTATCTTTTTCTATATATATATAATACGGATTATATGTTGTTTGTTAAATACTCTCTATTTTGCAAAACAAGCACGGGAGAGACTAATAGATGAAAAAGTAGATCAAAGTAGGGATGACAATCCAATCTGAATCCAACTTTATTTGATTCGACTGAATCATAAAGTTATTTGAACCTGACCCGTTAAAATGAAACCCGCACTCAAACTAAATCGAGTCAGGTTTAGATTTCAAAATTTATAACCTGACCCTCAATGTGTGCATAATAGTTTTCTTTATTAAAAAAGGAGTTCAAAATAATGAGAAAAACTTAGTAAAATTGTCATTAGTGCAAGTTGTTAATAGTATTAAAATATGGTAAATTGACTAAATTCTTTTGTAGTCCCCAGGTTCATACTCCTTGCATTGAGTATTGTAAAAAATTGGGTCTATGGCAAACACAGAAACACATGCACTTGTCAATCCATTAAAAGGGTAAGAAGATTGATACTACCTCCGTCCCGCTATATTCGTCTACTTTTGACTTTTGGAACTGTTCATCTAAGCACTTTGACTCATCAAATTTTTCCAATGTGTAAGCCTAAATATAGTCATGTGTGATCTTGTTTGATTTGTCTTAACATATAGATTATTAATATATAATTTTTATAATTTTTTAAGGCAAACAATTTGGGATTCCTTCAATTCCTAAAAACATAATAATTATTCAGAAATAGTAATTAATTAAAAGCCTCCAAACAGGTCAACCCACATATCTTCCTCCTCATTGCTTCCCGGGATCGGCTCTAGCCTCTAGGTTTATCGTCTCCTTGATTGATTACCAACATGTAGCAAACAAACAACACTACACTCTCAGCAATGATGTTGAGTGAGAATATCTAACATCAAAGTAATCAAATAAGCTAGCGAATCCACAATTCATGACAAAACTCACTATGCATTCACCATTATTACCAAAAACAGAAATCATATTATTAGTACATACCGATTTTTACGTGAAATAGAATATTGCCTGTTATACAATGTATATATTGCCTTATTTATTGCATATATTTTTAAAGGGTGTTTCTCCCATGCCAAGCAAATGAATACCCCTCCATTAAATTGCTGCCATGTGTACAAATTGAGTAAGAGACTCCACATCATATTAAATTCTAGAAATTATAGTATGACCCTATCTAATTTTTTCTTGTTAGTTTTTCTCTTCTACATTTCATTACGGAGTACTTATTAGGAGTTACTACTCCATTTAATGCTTTCAAAAAAGAAGTTTATCACCCTATTTTTTTCATTCTCTTAAGTTGCATTTTGTTTAACTTTTTTTTCTTATTTATTATTTATTTTTATTAAAATCAGATTATATCATAATAGATGAGATGCACTCAAATAAGATGTAATTAGATCACATCTTCAAATCAGATAAGAGTACTGGAAATGGGCTTCATGCCCGCCGGCATGAACGGGCGTTTAACACCCCGGGGGCGTGAAACACCGCCCCCCTCCGGGCGTGATCGGGCGTGAGTTCACCAGCGTCAAAAGTTTGACGCGGCTTGGCTGCATTTTTTAGCCGGCTCCCCCCCCCCCCTTCCCAACGGCTATATAGCCGTTACCCCCCCACCCCCCTAAATTAAAAAAAAATCTAAATTTAAAAAAAAAACCTATAAAATCCTCCTATCTCATACATCTTTCTCACACCTCTCTCTCACAAATCTCTCTTTATTACTATATATTTTCTCAAAAATATTTATTATTTATTATAAATATTTATAAAATATAATTTAAAAATGGGTTCATTTTCCGACGATGAAAGAAGAGCTTTATTTTTTCGTTGTTTCGCGACGAATTGTATTCAATGGTGGGAAGATGGCCAAGAAGAAGCCGAATCCTCCCGACGACAGATCAGACCAGATCTATTTAAAAAAATATTGAAAAGTAATTTTATTGTTTTGTCTATGATTAAATAATGATTACTATATAATTATTACATTATTTAAGGTCACAATATAATTATTATTTTCTTTCAAAAAATATGTAAAATAAATTGCGACAAAACTATTTTATTTTATCAGTTAATCAACAAAAAAGTGACGATATTTACGGATGGAGGGATTAATAGTTTCATTAATACATACTATTATCTTCATCTTATAAAAATTACTTATTTTCTCTTCACGAAGATTAAAAAAGTAAAAAATGATATGAATATTTAAAAGTAAGTGGTTAGATTTTTTAGAGTAGAACAAAATATTTTAAACTAAATATAATTTTGTAAAAAAATAGGAAGATAAAAAGTAAACTTTTTGGGATATTTACAAATACTACCTCCCTCTAGAGTTTTTGTCCAGTTTCCACCTTTTACCGTCAAAATTAATAAACTTTCCTCATAAACTAAATAAAATTGATACTATGTAAATATTGATACAAATATTTTTATTAGATTTATCTTGTATGATATTTTCAAAATAATTTTTTATCTACTTAATACTCCGTATATTATATAATTTTTATTTAATTATTAGTCAAATGTTGATCATTGTTGATTCTAAAAAGTTAAAATGCGACAAATTAAACACTCTAGGGTGGGGGGAGTAGAATATTATTTTAGCATGTTTTCGGACATAATTAATACATCATCTAACATAATGAAAACGAAATGAGAAATTTACCTAAATAGAACTAAAATATAATGACTTTCCCAATATAGGACCATATGTTTTTATTTCCCAATCTAGGACCTTTGGTCATTATCAAATAGTCATTATTCAACTAAATGTTCATGATTACAGGACATTATTCTTTTCACTAGGTCATTATTAAGTCCTATTTAGGGAATAAAAAAAGTTTAAGTCCTACGTTAAGAAAGTCATTATGTTTTAGTCCTATTTAGTGCAAATTTCACAAACGGAATATCTAAAAGCTTTCAACTTTGTAACATAAGATTCATATAAGACTTAACGGAACACGCCCTTACTCCATTCTTTTTCAATTGTCTGATTCAAATTATATGTCAAACGTTTCACTAACTATATATAAAATATATATAATGAACTAAAATATTAAAATTAACTAAATTGTTGGTAACGAAAAATACTTCACAAATTATTGTGGTTTCAAAATGTTGAACAAGCACCACCTTTGATTATTTTACATTTAGGGGCTGTTTGTTTCAGCCTTTTAATTGTTCAGTATTTAATTGTTCAGACTGTTTGTTTCAGCCTCTTAATGGTTTAGATGTCTAAATGGCTCATACATTTGCCTCTGAATTGTTAAGTATTATACAGAGTCTGAATGGTTAAGACCTCTTATCTGAATTGATCAGACATTTGCCTCTAAATAGTTAAGCAATATACTAGCTCTTAATGGTTCAGACCTCTTACTGGTTCAACACTTAATGGTTCAGACCTCTTACTGGTTCAGCACTTACCTATTCAGAAGTTGCCAAACAGCCCCTTACTTTTCCAAAGAAGAAGGGGCATTGGTGCTTATGTTTCAATAGGCGTAATAAAGGCCATTATACCATTTTCCATTTATTTTTTAATTTATTTTGAGACATTATTCTTTATAATATTTTAAAATTTCAATTTTTTCTGAGTAGTAACTAAAATAAAAGTACACTGTCATATATTTTAATTGTCTCAAGTTAAAAAATTTCAATTTTTGTTTTCCAAAATAAAAATAAAATAAAAAATAGAAACAAAGGGAAAAGAGGAAATTAAAAAACAAAAAATGAAAAATATACTCTTCTTGAAAAGGTGAAATATAGATATGAAAAATTGGCTGATAAGGTTAATTTTGAGGACGTCCAAAACGTAGAATTTTTCGGATAACATTTTTCAGGAAAACAGGATATAATAGGGATATTTACTGGACCGACGGCCAACAAATTCAATTTTTAACAAAGAATAACACTTTTGGGACAATTAAAAAATAATTTTTTTTGCACATCTAAAAAACCTTATTTACGCACTACAAGTATACATTTTCTTTTTCTATAATTTTTCTATTCTATTTTTTTAATTTTCTTTCACTATTCCTTGTTGTCTTTTTAAACGTCTCAAAAAAGTTTTTCTTTTTATTTTAAAAGACAATAAAATAATATAGACAATGAATTTTAGTTTCTTCATTCCATTTAAAAGACAATAAAATAATATAAACAATATTGATTTTTAAAATAATTATAAAAAACAATTTCAAAAAAATAAAAAATGAATGAAAAATAAGATATTGACTTCGATGCCGTGTGATTTAAAAATTAGACATCAATCCCCCTCTTCGCCGAAAAAATGAACGAAAAAAGTTACAGGGAATGTCTATGCGGCATTTTGAAATCATAAGAGATCGAAAAAGACTAAAGTAGGAGTAAAACATTAAAAATATATCAAAATAAGTGTTCCATGTTCCATGTTTTTTTTATTACTAAAATAAGAGTTAAAATGCATTTACATTACCAATCATGCTCGTGTTTATTACAAAAAAGTATAGTAAAATGTTCATGTACAATGCTACATTACCACAATGTGAACTTCTATTTAGAGAATAAAAACATGAAACTCTTATTTTTGTATTTTTTTATGTTTTATTCTTATTTAGGGTGATTTTTAAAATAATAAAGATTATTTCAAAAAAAAATTTTCAAAATCGAGAGAGTATTGGTCCCTATTTTTTTCAAAACCACGAGAGACTAGAATTATTACTCGATTAGGCCTTTTAAATTTAATTTTGCTTTTAATGAAAAAAACGTAGTGAAAAAATATGACGGAAGCAACAAGTTAACAAAATGTGAATATGTGATAACGGAAGGGAAAAACTAACAAGAAGAAATTAGATAGGGTCATACTATAATTTCTAAAATTTAAAATGATGTGGAGTCTCTTACTTAATTTGTACACATGGCAGCAATTTGATGGAGGGGTATCCAATGCCCTCTCCTTTGCTTGGGCATGGGGTAGTTGGGCAGTATGCCAATTTTATTTTTTTAATATACTGGTCGAGTATTACACTCACTGACTAAGTCCCTCGAAAAAATGAAGTCTTGTTTTATAATTATTGGTCAAAGTTTATAAATTTTGGTGGTAATAATTTGGAGAGAAATGCATTCTTTTATGATATGATTAATTTGAAACGTAGTGCATCGATCAAAACTAACTGGAATTTACTTTCATTAAACATCTTAATTTAAAAAGATTAGACAGAGACAAGAGAGTATTACATTACATTACAAAATATATGCAAAAATAGAAACTGAAATTAATAAAAAGAAATATTATGCTCTCCATTATGGGTGACACGGATGCATCCGAGACTACCGTCCTTGCTTCCTTCCTTACACCTGCGTACATACATAATAGAGAAATTAAAACACTTAATTCAATTTCGGAATAAAATTACATTAAGGTACTCCATTTTTAAGTTTGGAGATATATATATGATTTGTTATTACTTACAATATGATGATTTCCACCCCAGAATTAATTTTTCTCTATCAAAAACGACTCGATAACCCGTCATGAAATTGCCTAGAAATACAGTTGCAAATTAGCGTTATATATTAGCAATCAAATAAACAAACTAAATTCCAAGGCATGTTACACTCAAGATGATAAGATGATCGATAAAATGTACTTACGTCCGATAATGTTGAGATTGTTGATATCGTTTTTGATGATACCTAGACAATAGATTTGTTCCCCCAACTACAATAATTAAAATAAACAATATAATTAGTGCAGGGTTTAAATATGGAAACTAATTCCCCTTTATTCCATCCCAAAGCAAAAGTCACTTTGGCCAAATATAACTATTACAGGCTAGCTAGTAAAATTGTATTGTTAAAATTTATTAGAAGGCCAGAAAAAGAGTTGAGGACCACCACCTTCTCTAACTTAACAAACAATAAAGTGATGAACTTTTATATTGGGATGAAGAAATTAAAATAGGAAATTGTATTACGTATGGATTATATATTATAATTATTATTATTATTATTATTATTATTAGTATTATTATTATTTTGATTATTTTGATTATTATTATTATTATTACTATTATTATTATTATTATTATTATTATATACACTCCGTATCTCACGTACTCCACTAAATGGTTGGAAGTCTATTAGTTTAGTGGGAGTGAGAACATGGAAATCAGCCCCTCCTTTTGTCCTGAAGCTTAAGGATGGAGTTTGTAATGAGGTACCATTATCGGTCCTGCAACAATGAAAAAAAATTTAAAGATTTATAAATAAATAAATAAGTAGATTGAATTTAATAAATAAGTAAATAGTAATAAAAAAATTCTTCAGTTTCATGTTTCACTCACCTTGAAATATAACAGTATTCAAATGGACCCATCGGCACTAAAGTGTCATTCACAAAAAGGTTAAACTGCAAACCATCAATTACTTCTATTTAGTGCAAATATTTCTATATAGCTAGTTATTCAAAATGAGTTAATTAGTTTTATTAGTACGTCTTCATTTCATTAGTAATAGAGATAATTGAAGCTAATTAATGTGAGAAGGTAAATATATAAGTGTAGCAAATAAAACTCACAGTTTTTGTGACTAAACTATATGCCTCTCCGGCCAAGTGGGTTAAAGTGGTACCAGAGTCAAAAAAGGCTACCAATGAAAGATTTACTACAACATTTTCCACAGATATGTGCTCTATCTGTATGTTGTAATAAGGGCTGCATCAATAGTTCACAAAAAGAAAACAATCATTAATTATTTTAAAAACAAATCGACACCATATATATATATATATATATATATATATATATATATATATATATATATATATATATATATATATATATATATATGTATGTATGTATGTATGTATGTATATGTAAAAGAGTAAAATCGTGTTTTTCATCATCCTATCATTAAAGTATATTACGGAGTAGTACATATGTTAAATGTTCTAATAACTAAATTAATTACCTCTGGTCAAAGGTAGGTAAAAATGGGGTTGACATCTGATCCAGGTCACCCAGATCCCCAAAAGCAAACCTACCGTACCCATTTGGCGCGAAACACATAGAGAATGAGTTCCGAACCAACCCTTGGGACGATAGGAGGCTTGTCACGTCCAGCGCACCGTACCCCAACCCGAGTAACCCGTTGACCAGACCCTCGCCAAGAAGATCACCCGTTTCAACTTGTCCGCACCTAAGAACAAACAAAATAGAATCAATCACTTAAAAGACTAAAACATGTGCATAATGTTATTATTTGTGTGCATAATGAATGAATACGCACCCGAATATCACCGGTGCGCTGCTACGGGTTTGGTTGTCGTCGTAGGTTTCGAGGTGCATAACGTCTTTGACGAGAATGCCCCTGGTCGAAGTGTTCTTGGCCATATAGACGACTTCGTAGGGGCATGGGTAAGTGTTGGGTGCGCGGAGAGGGCAGTCCTCTGTCTTTGGGGGGAAGCAGTAGGGACTACCACAGGGAACAACCTCACTCGTTCGTGACGTACTGTAGTTGTACGAGTAGAGGTTTATTTGCTGCATGCGGCAATTAACACAATACATGCATACACATGTTTAATTTGGTTAGTCGTCGTACGTAGAAAATGTTACGGAGTATGATATAAATATACTGAGGAATGAATGAATATATTTTACATATATACGTACTTCTCCGTCTGATTTCTGGAAGGAGCGGGCACAGTCGTTGCAGCCGCATGGCAACCAGAAAGTGGCACTTCCGGTGTCAAGTGCCACCAAAAATGGCACCGGAGGGGTACCCACATATACAAGGGCATACTGGAGACTGCATATTATATAAAAACAATTCAATGGAATTAGGCACTGCGATATATAGACCTACATGAGCTTAATTATTTTAATTAGTACCCATCAACTTACTTTGCCAAATTCTCTATCATCTCCGTCACATCTCCTCCGGCAAAGGTGATTGCCGCCGGTGAATCCTTTAGGCGGTGGCGGCGTTGATCGGAGGCAGCCCGTACGGAATAATATTGGGCGGAGCCCCTTGCCGGCAAACCCTTATTAGTGCCTAACACTCCAATCACTTCTTCTGAGTAACGGTGAAAAATATTATAAGTATAATTATTATAATTATGCCGCTGGAGCGGGCTAGCAGCGCTTAGTCTACCCATTATTCCCAAGATGATAAATATAAGTATGGGAAGAATTAATAAGACAGCAGCTAATTTAGCCATAATGCTTTATTAAGTATATATTGGAAGCTTCACAAGTTTTAGAAGTAGCTAGACTCGATCGGGAATATAATTAATCTTGAAGCCTGATGCATGCATGCATGGGATACTTATACTAGTAGTCTAGCTAGCAATGGAAGCACTATAATTAATAACTTACCGCACTAACTAATTACTCCTTAATGGCTAAGATTCCAAAAGTTACTTATACATATTTTCAAATTATTTATCACCAAAAAAACAGTGTGAAGTTTCCCTCGATTTTTTCAATCTTCGAATTAGTGCATGTTGATGAGTAGTTTGATGAGTAGTGCTAGAGTCACAAACATTTTGGTCACAAAATACACAAACTTACTATTTATGTATTTAAATGTCTACTTTTTAATTATTTATCATTACTTTATTCACTTGGTGAGGTACACAAATGGAAAGTTTGTGTATTTTGTGATTGGAGTTTTTGTGACTCTAGCATTTCTCTAGTTTGATCTTAATGGAGTTTTGATGCTTTTTTTCTATATAAGATAGTAATACAAGTTGTTGAGCTTTTAATAAAGAAATAAAGATATTCGCCCCATACTGCAGGCTAGTTCAGTGGCTTATATATAGTCATCATATTTTTACGTGGATGGCATTA